TATGTTCATTTTCTTATGACAGCCACACTTTATCCTTGCATATCGTGGCTTCTCGACTGGATTTGAACCCCAGACCTCTCGCACCTTGACGAGCACGTTACCCCTGCACCACGGGAAGTATACGAAGAAAACCTGAATAAACTCAAATAATTCTATAGAATTTTAGGGTTTCAACTTTGTTATCCTTATTAATTTCGAGGTATTTTGTTCACGATAAACCTGTTATTTAACTATGATGTAAATGATTTAGCAAAAATCTTCTCGCCAAAACAGTCTGACATGTATATATTCCACTACTCGACAGTCAAATTTATCTGAAGAATTCGGTAATCGACATCACTAAAAATAGCATTTTCATTTATTGAAATGATATTCATCCGTGTAATTTGTGATTGTGCATTTATTGACAATTCTATAAGCCAACACTACTTTCAAACTTTTAATGCGTTGTAAACTTGTTTGATACTTGTAGCAAAATATTTTTTTTTCTTTTACATCGCTAATTTTAAGCTGTTTTGAGAACTACTTGTTGTTAGTTTTGTCGTGAAGCGCTGTGCCAGAGATTGAATGTCAGCATTGTATTTCCTGATCTGCGATCAGAAAATACAATAATGTAAAGTTCTCATTGGGGTGGGGGGGCCCAGACGGGATGGTGGGGTCCCGATCACCCCGATATTATAAAAATAACGTTTTAAAGGCCCATTGTGCTTTTATTTGTATTTCTTAAGCTTTTTTTAATTTTGGTGTACTTCAATAGTATCAAAAAAGTTACTCATTTGCCAATTATCTGAACCATCCTTTTCATCTGTTGCTTTTTGGCAAGGAGTACAGTTATAGTGAATTAGTATTTTATATGGAAGTCAAATACTATATTGTTTATATTTTGCAACTTTTGTGACAATTTTTCACATTTATCGTAACTTTATTCAGGTAACAAGTATCTTTAATACCTCTGATACTATTATTTAAACGTCAAAAATTCATGTTTGCCCTTTCTAAAGAAGTATGTAAGATTTCCCATTATAAAGCCTCTAGCGAACTGTTGTTACAGAGCTTACAAAAAACTTAAGTTTGTTGATAAACTTAATAATGTCTTTGTAAAAATCACTATTTATAGTCTGATCTAGAAACTGGACATTTCACCAGAACATTGCAATAGAGTATTTTATAGGTTTTTTTAGGAAAAATATTAACTGCATTTTATTATCCCCATCTTATTTAAAATGGGGCTTAATATGGCACAAAAGTTATCAAGTAAATGACTGACAGAACATGATATTTCTTACAGCATCTTTTAATTTTAGGATACATAAACAAATTATGTACTAGAGTACTTTGTTATATGGACACAATTTTAGATATTTCAGATGGTAAAATTAATGAAACTTTTATCACTTAAGCATCAAACCGCCATCTTTAACTCCGTCTCAAATATTTCAATGTCGCAGATCGAAAATAAGTCAGAACTCAGTATTTAAGCAGAACTCATTTGACACCTTCAGAACTTTTGAACCCAAAGTGCGTTGATATGTAGCATAATTACGCACTTTGGGGTCAATTTCTCGATTTTAACACCAAAGTGCGTTTGACCTCAAAGTGCGGTGCGAAGTGTAACGCACTTTGGGGTCGGACCCCAAAGTGCGTTTGACCCCAAAGTGCGGTGTTACACGGCTAGGCGCAATGCATAAAGCGAAAATTGCTTTTATGCGGCGCAACAGTGCCTTTTTGCCACATAAAGAGGTTGAACCTGAGTTTATATATTTTCAAGCCAAACAAAGTAAAGTATTAATATTTTAACAACTTTCGATAATAATTTATCCCTTAAACAGGGATTCCATTGTAGACTACCGTAGAACGGTTCTAACGCATTAAAGTAAAAGAATCTTATTTTATAATTTTCTTTCATGAAGACCATATGGTATGCCTAGATATGCCTTTAAAACCTGCGCGTCTGTTCCGACAAATGGGGCGGCAAATTTTCACGATTTAGTGAAATTAACCAACATCAAGGCTGTTGGAAGTGGCCTATATACCACTGCACTATATTGTGTTTGACCTCCAGAACGGCAACTATTTCGGCAACTGAATATTTTTTTGACCAATATAGTTGTAATAGGTCGTCCATTTTTATTTTAATGCTATAAGCATTGAATAATAAGTAGTAAGCCGTAAGCAGTTACGAAGCTTTTGAAGTAAGCAGTGGGCCAACATTTGGAAATTTTCCATAGTAATGTTTCTTTAATGTCCCCAAAAAAAATATTGAATAAAAAAAAAAAGTTAAAAAATTAAAAAAATTCTGTCTAAACCAAAAATCAATACCCCGCATAGTCGAATATCGATCAAAAAATAAAATGGAAATTTTAATTTTCCGATTTGCCAAGTCAATTTTTAAACAGGAAATATAAAAAAAATTTTAAAATTTAAGTCCCCTTAGCATTGCCCCAAAAGTGGGAAACCCCAAAGTGCGGGTTACAGGCTGGGCCCCCAATGCAAAAGCAAAAATTGTTTCGGCAAAACATGCCTTTTTCCCACAAAAAAGGGGTTGAACCGGTTTAAAATTTCAAGCAAACAAAAAAAAGTTTTAATTTTAAAAACAACTTTCGATAATAATTTATCCCTTAAACAGGGATTCCATTGTAAAGACTACCGTAGAACGGTTCTAAACGCATAAAGTAATAAAAATTCTTATTTTATAATTTTCTTTCATGAAGACCAAATGGATGCCTAGTATGCCTTTAAAACCTGCGCGTCTGTTCCGACAAATGGGGCGGCAAAATTTCACGATTTAGTGAAATTAACCAACATCAAGGCTGTTGGAAGTGGCCTTATACCACTGCACTATATTGTGTTTTGACCTCCAGAACGGCAACTATTTTGGCAACTGAATATTTTTGACCAATATAGTTGTAATAGGTCGTCCATCTTTTATTTTAATGCTATAAGCAGTTGAATAATAAGTAGTAAGCCGTAAGCAGTTGACAGTAAGCAGTTGACAGTAAAGCAGTAGGCAGTCAACATTTGGCAATTCCATAGTATATTGATTCATTAATGTTCCCAAAGAAATATTGAGATAAATATAAAAAGTTATGAAAGTATAAAAATTCTGTCATAAACCTAAATCAATACACCGCATAGTTACGAATATCGATCAACAGATCAAATGGGTATTATTTAATACTTACACGTAGTTAAGCCTATCTAGTCAGATTATGAACAGGTATAATATAAAATATATATTAAGATATAGTTCCCCCTTAGCATTAACAAGCGGTTTGCTCAGTTATGTCAAATAATATAACAAATATACATGTATATCAAAATGGTTTTGTTGATGCATTTTGTGAGAAAGACATCCTCAAAGAGAAAGTTTGATCTCACACCTGGTCCGTGGTTGAGAACCAAATCCATCCCTTTTATCAAAAACCGTTTCTATGGCCATACAAGGTTTTTGCCATAGACCGCGAAATACAACTTTTGTTTGCTTACTAGGATATGTTTTCATGTGTAAATGTTATAAACTTTAAATGTTTTAACACTTACTTTTTGTTTCAGTTACATCTGTTACTTTCCTACCAAGTGCGACATTTAGCGTCAAGGGGTTGCGACATTTAGCGGCAATCGATTTTTTGTGCGACATATAGCGGCAACGTTGCGACATTTAGCGGTAGGCGATTGCGACATATAGCGTTGATTGCGACATATAGCGTCAGCGTTGCGACATTTAGCGTTAGTTGCGACATATAGCGGCGTTGCGACATATAGCGTTGCTACAATCGCAACTAGTTTTGCAATAAATTATTACAAAAATCGTTTTATTGAAAACCTGGTTGCTGCCAAAGAAATTGTCGAAGCCGTAAGCCCGAGACATCAGAAACATCCCGAGATATCGCTCCAGCCACTGTTATACCCCGGTTACTTACGAGTGTCTGTTTTATCGCAATATCATTATTTTTTTTATTACAGAAATCACTTATAAGTTTTAAATGGAAACCCCAGATAAAATGAACCAATACCAGATAATCCTGTCTAAAGGACGTCACAGCTACCTCACAGCTAGCTATATATAATAAGTCAGTGAGCGCAGCCGTTAAAATGTGTTTTCGCTGTTTGCCAAAAAAAAGAAAAAAAAGGGAATGTAACTATTAACTCTTAAACCACAAGAGATATCACTGTAGATATATCTCATTGGGTAGAAGTGCAGTGTAAAAGAACCGTAACTCTGCCTCGCTTTATTTTGGAGTTATTGCCTTATGTTTATTTTTAATCTGTGATCTTTGTCCCGGACAAAACTCTAATAGTATAAGAGATATCAACAAGAAACTTTGTAGATAGATAAATCTCATTGAGTTGAAGTGCTTCGCGAAAGAAACGTAACTCTGCCTTGCCTAATTTTGGAGTTATTGCCCTTTGTCCATTTTTACACTGTGAACTTTTTCCGGGACTACAAGAGATATCAATCTGTGTCCAAAACCTGTTCGTGGAGCATCACCAGGTCCAACCGGCTCTTTTTTTCTTTTTCTGTTTTGTTTTTTCTTGAATGTGTTACCCCATGCACCATTTGACCCTATGCCCCTTTGAACCTCCGTAAAAAACTCAACCGATATATAGCAGGTGCAAAAAGAACTCATCTGTTATATATAAATCGAGCTTTTTCCTACATGAATCAAGTGGAAAAAAAACTGTACTGTTATATATCAGAACAGTTTTCAAATCCTAGATAGAAGTGTAAAAAAAGCTCAGAGCCCTGCGATAATAATTTGACAGTGCACCATCCACACATTTGCGACCGTACTGTAGAGCTTGCAACACAGTGAAGCAAGAATAACTAAATTACTGAACTAATGTTGGATACTAGTTCGTTTCATTTTTATCATTTATCAATCAAAGTTCATGCCGAATCGACCATATTTGTTTTCTGAATTATCCCTTTTGACTATGCCCTCTTTATTATCTAATTGTACAGTGTTTACTTTTATTATCACTATCAGGTTGAATCTGATATAAAATTACTAACCATCATGTATTCAAAAGCTGAAGATATTTGACTTTTAGGTTGTAAATATGTCTCTCAGTGGTGTATCTTTATATCTCAGTGCTTTGTTTTCAATTTGTAACGGATTTCTTATTAACCGTAAAACTACCAAAACACGTAAGCAACAATTTAGTTTCACTTGAGAAACATTCTACGTACCTATTTAAAGGGCACATATATGCTTCAGAAAACGAATAAATTTGTCTTCTTTTTGAAATAGCACATCTGAGTTTTAGAAAGTAAGAAATATTAATGCCTGTTACCTGAAGATAGTAGAGTTAAATATGTGAAATAATTTGTCATGAAAGTAGAAAAATGAAAATCGTAGTATTTGATTTCCATGCAAAATCACTATATAAATGTTATTGCTAAAAGCAACAAAAGAAAAATATGATTCAGGTAGTTTGACTATGAGTTACTTTTTGCACGGAATTTATTATAAATTACATAAAAAGCTTGTGAGAAATAAGAATAAATTCATTTCCAGGGCATAATGACCCTTTTATGTTTGTGATAAAAAGTGAGTTCAACTGTGGCATTTTCCGGTTTTAAGAGAAAACTTAAAATACAATTGAGAGAATTCTCTTTGTTCATCAGTTATAGTATAACGATGTTCTTATAAGTGTTTCTGTTGATCGCAGTTATTTAATGGTTTTCCTTTGCTTTTGTTTGTTTTTACTTATTATTGTTTTTATAAAAAAAATGAATCAGTCTATAGCTCGTCAATTAATTTAGGAATTGTATTTTCTAGTGGCGGTTCATTTACTCTTACTTACTTACTGTACCAGCAACGAATACCCATAGTGGAAAAGCCTTAAGGGCAATGCATTCTTTACTTTACATTACAAATCTATAGAAATTATGTTCAATTTGTTCGATGCTTATGTTTTATCTATTTTGAATTATAATTGTGAAGTATGGGGTTTTAACAAAGCAGAAAATATTGAAAGCGTGGAGAGAAAATTTTGTAGATGGTTATATACAAATATTAAAATGTCAACAAATACTCTATCATCGTATGCTGAAAAAGGTACATTTCCTCTGTATATTGAAAGATATGCAAGGATAGCAAAATATTGGTTAAAGTTACACGGCGATAAGAGTCAAAACTGCAATTTTAACAACTATTCTAAGTTGTTAAAGACATGATCTATCAAATAACTCAAATGTTGTCAATTTGTCATCAAAAGTACGAGACATGTTACAAAACGCAGATTCGGTTAATATAAAAAACTTGATTCCAGTATTCATATCACCTCTCCGGGATATTATAAAATGGAATTTTAAGCTGGTGAATATATAGAGGATATTTGTTTGTTTTGCATGTAAAATTGAAATATAATTTCACTGAGTGAACACCAGATGCAATATTTTCGTGACGTAGCCACTCGTGAAAATATATTTGCTGGTGTTCACGAATGAAATATATTTCAATCTTATATGTAAAACAAATAAATATTCTTTTTATTTCATGCTTTTTAAGTGATTTTAAGTATTTTACTGATTTTGCCGGGTAACGTCGCGCATTCTCCTTTGTGACATCATCACATCATGACGTCACATCATCAATTTTGAAATATAGTTCTGTTAAATTTCTCTAATTTTGTTACATTTTTTTATTACATGCTTTTCGGTGGTTTATAGAAATATATCAGTGATATAAAACTGGTAATTTCACTGTTTGAAACAGTGAAATTACCACTTTGATAATTTCACTGTTTTGAATTTAAGCCCCTCATGTTGTTTTAGTGAAATACCAGCGTGCACAGTACTGGGTACCATCTTAATGACGTGACGTCGAAAATGACGTCACGTTGTATTATTATTTGGCGCGCTTTTCATTCAGTATTAGGTTTAATGTCTTTTTAAAACGTTTCTTTGCATGTAATAAAAAGAAAATTTGTATAGTTCAGTGTAAGATTGAAATATATTTCACCTTGTGAACACCAAAAGTTCATATTTCACTCGAGGTTGCGCCACTCGTGAAATATACCTTTTGGTGCCCACTCGGTGAAATATATAGAGGAAATTTGTTTAGTTCAGTGTAAGATCGGAATTTATTATATACTTATAAATGAAATATTGAGAAATATTGATGAAATAAAATGCGTATTTTCATTTTCCGTATTTTCACTGTAAAAATTTATTTTTCACTGCAGTGAAACATATTTTCCGTATTTTCACTGGTGTCTTGCCGGACTACTTTCTTTTAAATTCTGCCAGTACACAAAATATAAGGGAAAGTCTTTGAAATTTTATCGCAAAAAAGAGAAAAATGTATATAATAAACAGATAATTCAAGTTTTTTTCTATATACATGATTTATTTTCATCTTGTGGCATGAAAATTACACTAATTTCACTCGTGGCTACCGCCACTCATGAAATATTTATTTTCATACCACTCGATGAAAATAAATTATGTATTTATAGAAAAAACTTGAATATCCTCTTTATATTTAACCGAGTGAGCACCAAATGGAATATAAAAATATGAACTTTTGGTGTTCACAAGGTGAAATATATTTCAATCTTACACTAAACTTAACAAAAGTTTCTTTTTATTACATGCAAAGAAGCGTTTTAAAAAGACATTTAACTTAATACTGAATGAAAAGCGCGCCAAATAATAATACAACGTGACGTCATTTACGACGTCTCGTCATTAAGTTGGTACCCAGTACTGTGCACGCTGGTATTTCACTGAAACAACGTAAGGGGCTTAAATTCAAAACAGTGAAATTATCAAAGTGGTAATTTCATTGTTTCAAACAGTGAAATTACCAGTTTAATGTCACTGATATATCTCTATAAACCACCGAAAAGCATGTAATAAATTCGGATCTTACACTGAACTAAACAAATATCCTCTATAACATGATGTATGGAGACCTCGACTTTCTTTTCCTTAACCCATTACGTTATATACACGCCTTTTAACGCCTTTTTCACCCCCACGCCTTTTTTTGTTGTCTCAAATGATGAAAAAATGCCTTATTTAGGCCCCCAACACTTGTTTTTGTTTGAGAAATGTTGTTAAAAAAGTGACCTCTTTTTCGGCGCGGCCCCCAATCAAAAGATACATCGCCAAGAAAATTTTGGAATTGTGAGGGGAGATTGATCATAAGGTAACGTGTAACCAACGCTGAAAAGCGTTTGACTCTATCTCAATCAATTGAGAAGTTGCAGCACTTTGAAATCAATTTCGATGGAAAAAATCAACGCAAAATAGTGATTTTTGGCAATTTTGAGATGTCCCCTCGTTACCATGGTAACAGAAAATTATAGCCTGAGCATGTTGTTGCAAGGGCAATGGTCCAGTCAACATTTGTGCCAAGTTTGATTAGAGTTGAAGCAGTTTTGATAGTATTATAGCAATTTGAACTTGTAACGGGAGACTTTTCAATGAAAACAGCCTTTTTTTTCACAAAATGCTCATGAATTAATGGGTTAAGGAGCAAAATTTACGTAAGGCGGCATTTATTTCTGCTTGTTATTAGTCGCCGGTAGAAACCGGCGACTATATTTGTAATAGTTTAAAATTATACCTATGGTAGGAGAAGCCCTTAAAATCTGAAAAATAAAGCATATCAAACATTGAACAGTTTAAAGACAACAATTATTTATTCAGTAAATCACAAAAAATCAAACATATGATAACTTTTGCTCAGTGGAATGAAATATGCACATATTGACGTCTTAAAAGCAACATTACAATTTTCATAAAATGAATTCAATAACGTATCCCAAGGATCAGTCATTGAATATTAGAGATACTTTTACTTTTTTCTGTGTGGTCAAGCATTGCTATTTTATAATATATAAATCATGAATGATATTTGAAAATGACACTAGAATTATTTGGTTGTTTATTTTTATGAGACCTATGTTACATTATTTTATCTAATTATAAACAAATGCCCCCTGGTCTTTCGATAAAGAATCACGTGACTACATGTTTATATATGTTGTATATCGTGTATTAAAATCTATTAATAGTTACAGATTGCTGATAATAGACAGGTAACTTGTTAATGGTGGTAACTGATAAGATGTATAAATCAATTGTATTTTGTACAGATAATTACATAAGTTATTTTTCATTAATCAGGTTCATACTTTTATAATCATTAGAGAAACCTGTTTACATTAAAAATACATTATTCAAAACCTTTTCCTTTCTTCTTGGTAAGGGGGTTAACTTGGCCCTTTCTGTCAAACATTCGACAAGAAAGTTCAATTTGTTTAAGTTTAGGTTGAACATCCCAAATAATGTTATGCCCTTAAAGGCAACATTATTGAAAATATATAATGGTAATCGTTGATTCGGTAATATTCCGTGGTTTCCGTCACGCAGGTTTCCAAAAACGGTTATGACGTCAGGGGTCCGGAATCGTATTAGATACATAGAAAAAAATAATTAAACCTATCTTTGTGTTGATGAGATTATCGCACTGGAAAGGCAATTAAACGGTAATTTTTATATATCGTATGTAACGATTGGAATACGTGTATTGATTTCCAACTAAATTATATATTTTTTCTATAGCACATAATAATGATGTACAACATCTTTTACAATAAAATTGTATTGTTTCATGTAATAATTAAAACATATATATTTCCATCGTCACTTTTGCAAATATTCGATGATCGGTAATTATTTGTCGGTAATTATCTGAATCTGAACTAGTAACCTATACGGATTTCAATGTATGGTACAACAGTATATGTATATAAGTAAAATTACGAAGAAAGAATTACCAAGCATAGCAACTTGCCTTACTAGCCTCAGTGGCAAACATTACTCAACTCATTGTTCCTCTTATTTTTATACTTGAACCATTAAACTTATATTTTCTTATATTTATGATAATACAATCATTTTTCTATCCGGCGACTTGATGCTTTAGCATCAAAATCTCTACTTGTTCTACCTAGTTATGATTTTCTTTTCATCCGCATTCAGATAGTCCGGCTACAGTGAAAATTATTTTTTATAAATTTCACTAGTGGTTTATCAGAATATAATGATCTGATATATTACAATAAAACACTGGAAAGCATGAAATAATAAGAGGATATTTTTTGGTTTGCGTGAAATATGGAATATATTTTCACGAAACATGATAAAATGCCACATATTTTCACGAGCCGGGAGGGCGAGTGAAAATATGTGGCATTTTATCATGTTGAGTGAAAATATATACCATATTTCACGTACAACGGAAAAATAACCTTTTTATTTAATTTCATTATCAAAGAAAAATGGTTACGAACTGCCTTGCTTGCTACGTAACTGCAATTGTACAGCGCGCAGTAATATAATCATTGTCTTGTTTTGCACGCGATATTTAGCGCTACATTGTGACGTCACGTAAACAACTCTTATAAGAATCTTACACCGGCTGCCGGTACAGACCGGAATATCTAGCTCGAGGGTAACTGTTTACAGCGGTAACGAGGCTCTGCCGAGTTTTCCGTAAACAGTTACCGAGAGCTAGATATTCACGTCTGTACCAACAGCCGGTGTTTTGATTCTTTTTCTTGCATATTGCATGTCGATTATTTCGGAAAGCAGAAATTATGAAACTTATATTCTCATTATGCACCTTTTTCTTATAGGTAGCGTATGAACATACAACTTCATTCATAACGGAAAAAATGACGTCATCCTAAAGAAGGCGATTCATTCATAAAAGGCGCGCGTCAATGACGTCATTTAACGCACGCGACTTGTCTTACATGGGACGTGTAAGACAGACTTTTCTAGCACCGGTGAAAACGGTAAATAATCCTGTCTGAGATGCAAGAAAAAAACGTCTGTACAGCGTTAATGACTGAATTAAAGATATAGAGGATATTGAATGAGTGTAAGTTCAATACTGAATTTATTGCACGAGTTGAATAAATTATATTATGCTAGCCTGTGGCGAGCATAATATTATTTTATTCAACGAGTGCAATAAAATAAGTAATGAACTTACACGAATTTAATATTCTATTTATCACATACCCAAAATTAAGACCGTTTAAAGTGGAAAAAAGTCATTTTTCATTGAAGCGCCTATAGTATAACGCTAACATTTAGCGCATCTTTACACTATGTTTCTATAACGCTAATGACGTCACGTCAAAATATATGCACGGCCGTGCAATACCATTTTTACGGAGTCGCAGTGAAAATATGTGGCATTTTATCATGTTGAGTGAAAATATATACCATATTTCACGAAAAATGAAAAAATAACCTTTTTATTTAATTTCATTATCAAAGAAAATGGTAACGAATCCCCTTGCTTGCTACCAACTGCAATTGTACAGCGCGCAGTAATTTATGCGTAAGCACGCGCTGTTTGGCGCTACATTGTGACGTCATGTAAACAACTCTTTAAACGTCTGTAAGCGTTAATTACTGAATTAAAGATATTGGTGTTCGGATTGATTTTCTTAGTTAGACCATTTTCTATCATGCTAGATAGTTTTCAAAACAAAATTCAAGAAAAAGTTGTTTTGTATTTATCAGATTTTTCAAACAAAACGGCGAAAGAAGTTAAAAATTAAATAAGATGTGATATGTACTGAAAAAATTAATATCGCCTCGGTCAATATTAATTTTTCAATGCATATCACATCATATTCACCAGCTAAAAAGTACATATGATCTGTTTTATTATATAATCTATAAATAGCTTTTATATGGCTTATTTATCTGCCATTGCTTACGACGGAAATCTACATTTTTCAGCTTGCCTAATTTTGAAAACCGATACTGTGGTAAGAAAATTGTCTTCAATTTCTTTGAAAATGCATATTTCACAAAACTTTGCCTGTCGGATAAAGTAATCATACGCAATCAGAATAGCCTATAAAGTTTTGTGAAATATGCATTTTCAAAGAAATTGAAGACAATTTTCTTACCACAGTATCGGTTTTCCACCCGTAAAATTGATCTCTTCATGCGTTCTCCGCCTGTGAAACATAGTGAACGATTGGACTCGGTGTGTATGTTCCTAAAGAAATTTAATTTAAGGGTTTTGGGAATAAAGTGTTATTAGGTTTTAAGACGACAAAAAATATTGAAAATGAAACAAAAAAAAACTACAAACATTCCAAAACATAAAACTTTTTTAGCATGTAGTCAAATTGGCTTCACCAATTTAAGTATACTGCTCAAGCAAACAATATTTATTACCTTTTCTATTATTAACCATGCAAATAAAAAACATCAATCCTAATACCAAGTTCTTAAGTTTTAAGAGCTTCATACTTTCAGATAAGCGAAACATTAAAAATGTTAATAGATTTGAAGAAAAGTATAATGATTTAAGTAAAAGAATTAATATGTTTTTGGTCGATTAATAACTGTTTTACAATTTTGACCACCAAATTTTATTGCATGACTAACACAGTAGATGCTATCTTTGCATATTTGTTCTCTGTTTGATAAATAATCCGGATGTAAAGAGCTGTTTGAGCATTGTTTAACTTTTTTGTTGTTGTTCACTCCACAGTACTTTAACATTAAAAAAAAAAACATTTCAAAATTTAATTGAAAATAGCCATGAATCTAGATATATAATGTCAATTTTCTCATTTTTCTCATTATTACTCTCAATATAATAAACAGTCATGTTATTAATATGCTGCTACATGACATACAAAAAGGTATTTAGCAAACACTAAAAGTGTCACATCAAAAGTTTTAAGTCATATTGTTCTAACAAGTATTTCCCTGTCTAATGCTTCATAGATCTCCATATCGTAAAGTTCTTGAAGAAATCATGCCCTCATATGGGTAACTCGGACGAGAAGTTTTAAAACCTTGAGCGTCCGTGGATATTGACTTCAAAGCACTTGACCTCACCACTATGGGTTCGAATCCTAACAGAGACTTTGGATTATTTCATGTGAGGAAGCTATCTAGATAGCTAAAGGAACGTCTGTGGTTCTTAGGTGCCCGTTCGTGCCTGAAATAATAAACGGAATGGCAACTGAAGTCTTCTTCCATCAGTAAAGCTGGAACGTCGCCATAGATGACCTATACTTTGTCGGTGTGACGTAAAACTCAATCAAACAAACATAGTTAACAAGAGAATTTCTAATACTGCACGTTTGTAACGTCATTTTTATTGGGTAATCGTGACTTTTATATAGTTTTATATACACGGCTGCTGTCGATTCATGAAGAAATTTTTTTTTCTCTAAAAAAAATGATGTTTGCTGTATTATAATGGCTCGGGTTATATTTACAAATAGCCGTTTATATTGGGCCATATAACCTGTCAACGATCTTTAAAACTAATAATATAAATTTGATTCTAAGTTTCCGTTCGATGCGACTATGAACTGCGCCCACCTCCATCTCAGCATGGCCATGTATGAGCTTCTGAGTTGTCCTGACATTATATTTCATTGCAAGTCTTTACTCAGAATTTCCAAGTATCACTTTTTGGTATTGGTAACAACACCCGTAAATTTATTTTACTTTATTGTCTTCAAGATGTTCTCAAAGGAATTGTTTAAACAAAAACCATGATACTTTTTGCATTGTTCACATTATGTTCCGGTTTCTCTTTTTCGAATGAGTTTACAGCAAGCGCTACCCACCGGTTTAGCCACACGCTGAAGTCTTTCAAAAATATGATTTCTGCCAGAACTTGTTCTCATCTTTTGTAAATAGATTATACATGTTATTGCCATCACTTTGCATTTGTAACAAATCAAATAGTCCAATATTGAAATATTGAACACTTATCATGAGAGTGGTCATCGCACACGTGACACCTGTATTTCGTGAAATGGTAAAAACAATTTAATGATTATAAAAATTAACGTAACAACCACCCCAGCGATGTCTGATGACGATCAGGACATGCTTTGTCTTTTAATTATAATCTTAATGAGAATGCTTACAAAATAAATCATTCCAAATCAAAGTGAAATTAAGAAATTAAATATTTATTTATTTATTGATTTAAATTTACAAATAATCATATATTTATTTATGTAAATATTACCTTTTTAAAGAACACTACATGTTATTTCCCCGAGAAAATAAATGTCTACCAGTCTTGTATGTGATTATAATCTATAAAACAAAAGCTGAAAATATAAATAAAAGGATTATAAAAACATATCTGGTATTTCTTTATGTACATATATATTAATTCATATATAAGTCAACATTGTTTTATGAACAAATGCTGTGCAAATGGATAAAGGGCGTGTATTCGGACATTTTTCATACGTTTAGGAGGGGAATACGTCAGATATTGACATGTTATAATGGAGTGTTTTATTTTTTGTCACACATATTTTGTATTAAACCGTATCTATGTACTTATCAAAATAACAAAATATTTTAAAAGTCTATTTTTGATTTTGAATGTATATTTATGGAATACATGTATATTTATAATTTTAGATCATGTTTACACCACACAGCCTGCAGATCTGCCAGGTAACAACAAGACAGGTAAGGGATTTGTGCGAACTTTCAAATATTGCTTTAACACAGAACTTGCCATTTACTAAGCTAGCTAATTTTGCTTCTTGTCTGTTATTTTACAGTCGTGAAAAAAAGAGTTTTTTTTTTTTTTGACATGACGGGACTGAATATAATTTTTCAACTTGATGTAGATCTAGACTTATATGACGGGACTGAATATAATTTTTCAACTTGATGTAGATCTAGACTAATAAGTAGTGTGAAAATTTCGTATCGTTCTCTTACTCCGTTTTTTTCAAGCAACGCTTTTCACTTGAATCGAACTAAGAAGCGCTCAAAATACACCTGTCAATTTATTTCTACTATCTTTTGCATATATTTCTGTTTTAAGTGCCCTAGCTGATCTTAGGAATGAAACTTTTATGTTTTAGGCTTTTGTACCTCAGTTGAGTTCCTTTAATGTTTTGTCAAATTTTGTAACATATGAACAATAGATTATTAATTTCCCCACATATTGTTTTTGTTTTCTTATACCGTTACAATGCTACATTGCTGAGTTCAATACTAAATTCGATTGGACGAGTACGTCAAATCTATATTGGACGAGACGCTAACCGAGGCAGGTATAGGTTTTGTAGCTGTGTACGAGTCCAATAGAACCAGTATTGTTACTCAACAATGTATAATGACCTCTTTATTCCACATTTTTTTGAAACTTTGTTACTTAAAGTAAGATTAGGAATTGATATAAACTTTGGGACCTTAAAATGGAAATGAGGCTAGATGGAGCGCGATAAGCATTTGATATATATATATATTGGATTACGAGACTGTATGGGATATGATATACATTTAGACGCTAAAATAAAAACGAAGCTATTAAACTATGAAGTGTGAATTGCATTTGATATAGGTGTTTTGGATTCTGGAAATGGAAATGACCCCGATAACATTGGATCCGATACACCACCGTTACCTTAAAGCCATATTACTGCATGAACATTTTGTAAAAAATGGCTGTTTTCATTGAAAAGCCATATGTTAAGTTCAAATTGCTATGAAACTATAAAATGCTTCAATATTCATTAAACTTGGCTGGACCATAGCCTTTGTAACGGTATGCTCAATTTTACATTTCCTGTTACCATGGCAACGAGGAACATCTCAAAATTGCCAGAAATCACTATTTTGCGTTGAGTTTTTCAATCACAACTGATTTTAAAGTGCTGCAACTACTCATTGGATCGAGATACAGTCAAGATTTTTCAGCGTTGGTTACACCTTACAGTCTAATCGATCTGACCACAAGTTCAAAATCTTGGCGGGGCTACTGCTCTCTTCAAACCCCTTAGCAGAAGGCACATAACCTCCCCCTGCAACCCCATTATTTATTTTTTTGAAAGGGGACAGCGCCGGAAAAGTGATAACTATTTGGGGACTAAAAAGTGCATTTATTTTACCGTTTGCCACCCCAGATGGGCAGGGGTTAATATGAATTAATGGGTTTTTTAATTAAACCTTTTAGTGAATGGAGTGAAACATTAGACCGTTGCGCAATCCAATAATGATATCTATTGGAACATCATGCTGCAAGTGCATAATTTTTATATATACAGTAAGGTGTGAAATAAAATGTATTACTATGTTGTATCGACTAGATACCAACAAAACCTAAATCTTAAGTGTATATTATACAGTGTATACATGAAAGAGGCAAAACCAAACAAAGTTGCCTCTCCTGTTTCCCATTATGTACACGTTTAATATAACTTTATTCTAATGTGAAATTTTATATATCTTTCATCATGTTTGCTTAGTCTTCTAATTGAAAAAATTGTGCAATAGATAGAACTTTCCACAGTTTATCCTCCCTATTTAACAATGACGATAAAGTATAAGAAGGTGTCAACTAAAGTGCCAATCAGAGTCCAATAAAATGATAGTTAACTATTAAGTAAAATACTTGTTAAACCAAATAACAATCGAAAGTGCTGATATTTCTGCTTTATTTACAGGTGAAATAGTAGGTGCAGTGTTTGGGGTTCTTATTTCAATAGTCATCATAATAGTATGTGTCGTGTGTATAAGGAAGAAAAGGTTCGTATTGCTAGCTACCTTTGATTTTTTTCTCAACACAAATCTGTCGCTGTCGTCAATGTCATAAATCTCATTTACACATTCCCTTTAATGGTATTATGGCAAATAGTACAAGATTAGCAAACACTAAGTTTCCAACTGCAAGTAACATTGCTGAACAACAACATTTGAAGCACCAATGGCTATATTTATCTGTCTATCTAATTGTTATTAAATGTTTGCTAAATCTTGTCCGGCACTGAGAAATGAATTTCTAACAAATATAATGTAGAATGAAAGGATATTGAACAAGTGAACCCAACATGTTGTTTTGAAATGCACAAAGAATCTTGGATAAATGAGTACATGGCATTGGATGCTAGTTGATTGTATCTTACTATTCATTACCTTGTATTGTATTATGAACGTAAACAAGTTAAACACATGAATACTGTTTCTCTTTAAATAAATAATACAAGAATATTTAAAAATGGGTAAGACTAATTAAAGTATTGTACATGATATTGTACATGATAAGTCATAGCATTCTTTGTATTGCAGAAAACGAGATCTAGAGAATTCACGTAGAACAGAATATCTCACTGAATCTTCACAGAGCGCAAGGGTCATTGTCGACACAACACAAGAATTAAGTCAAGGCCGAACTAACGTTAACAATCGTGGTAGTGAATACATATCTCTACAAAGAAATCCAAATATGTGTGAAAGTAATTCCGATGGTGAATTGTGATCTTCAAGATTAGGTTAAGCATGAGATTTGGAAAGGACTTTTGTCAATCTGTAGACGAAATCATGGCGAATCGAATGTTTAATAATCTATCAGTGTAATATTCTGTGTGTTCTCTTCAAGATATATATTTAGTTAAACCATGTGAAGTATAAAGTACATCATATGTAGTGATATGAATAATGGTCAGTTAAAAATGTTTTAAATAAAAGAAAATATCTTTCCAATAACATTGCATTCCTTATTTCTCTTGTAGAGAACATTTTTTTTAAAATGACTCTAGAAAGTACGACTGTTTTATGGTGTTTTACTCATATAACTGTTATAAAGGAATTATACATATGTCAAATGATTTAAGAAATGGAAACAATTTATACAAAATTTACATAAAGATGTATAATGCTTGGCCATCAATTTCAGATTAAACTTTCAAAAAAATTGAAAGATACGTTCAAAATGCGTTTTGAGCTCAACACCCTTTAGAAGTGTCTGTGTCTCGGCAGAGTTGTCAGTATGAGCCTGGACTGGCACTGTTTACTAATTTAAGAGGCTTACAATCAAGTCCGAGTTTCTAATTAGCCCCAGTGTTTCTGTATAACAAATCGTCGAAGCAAGAATAACCACAGGCAAAAGAATCGGACCTGGGAAGAAAAAATATGACCAGATTGATAAAAAAAAGATAAATACAGAATTCCTAAAGAAAGCCCAACAAGGCAAAATTGAAAATGTTGCAGGCTCGGTTTGATTGAGCCTGTTCATGGACGGTACTGGAAAGTGCAAGTTACCGCCCACGCCCCCTAGCACCGGCTTAAGCAGAATTCAACATTTAAACATGAAATAGTAAAATTTTGAATTTAGAAACATCCGCAGATGTGTTCATACGGCGGTTATCATGGAACCTTCAATGTGATACTTCCGTGCCATTCCATGAAAAGCGGCGTATGGTCCCCAAGTAATAAAAAGCGTGTGCCCTAAACGAGAAAAACAATGGGCGGAACTAAATAAAATGGAATTTTGAAAGGGGATCAGAGGTTATGAAACCTGCGTATCACAGATAAGACGTCAAAAGACAAATTTAAAAAGCAGGCAACATATCCTAAGGGTGATTCAACATTATTCAAGTAGGAATATTGGAACCACCCAACTAGAAAATGCCGAAAAGTTGAAACTAAAAACACCACAAGCACAACAATAATGTCGTGCTGAACGATCTTCAAGGATCGAAAATATAACATCATTGATTAAATGTACGGGGAGACTTTTTACAGCCGCCACACGGCACAAATAACACGGACGTGATCATGAAAAAGATAAATACAGAATCCCTAAAGAAAGCCCAACAAGGCAAAATTGAAAATGTTGCAGGCTCGGTTTGATTGAGCCTGTTCATTGACGGTACTGGAAAGTGCAAGTTACCGCCCACGCCCCTTAGCACCGGCTTAAGCAGAATTCAACATTTAAACATGAAATAGTAAAATTTTGAATTTAGAAACATCCGCAGATGTGTTCATACGGCGGTTATCATGGAACCTTCAATGTGATACTTCCGTGCCATTCCATGAAAAGCGGCGTATGGTCCCCAAGTAATAAAAAGCGTGTGCCCTAAACGAGAAAACAATGGGCGGAACTAAATAAAATGGAATTTTGAAAGGGGATCAGAGGTTATGAAACCTGCGTATCACAGATAAGACGTCAAAAGACAAATTTAAAAAGCAGGCAACATATCCTAAGGGTGATTCAACATTATTCAAGTAGGAATATTGGAACCACCCAACTAGAAAATGCCGAAAAGTTGAAACTAAAAAACACCACAAGCACAACAATAATGTCGTGCTGAACGATCTTTCAAGGATCGAAAATATAACATCATTGATTAAATGTACGGGGAGACTTTTTACAGCCGCCACACGGCACAAATAACACGGACGTGATCATGAAAAAGATAAATACAGAATCCCTAAAGAAAGCCCAACAAGGCAAAATTGAAAATGTTGCAGGCTCGGTTTGATTGAGCCTGTTCATTGACGGTACTGGAAAGTGCAAGTTACCGTCCACGCCCCCTAGCACCGGCTTAAGCAGAATTCAACATTTAAACATGAAATAGTAAAATTTTGAATTTAGAAACATCCGCAGATGTGTTCATACGGCGGTTATCATGGAACCTTCAATGTGATACTTCCGTGCCATTCCACGAAAAGCGGCGTATGGTCCCCAAGTAATAAAAAGCGTGTGCCCTAAACGAGAAAACAATGGGCGGAACTAAATAAAATGGAATTTTGAAAGGGGATCAGAGGTTATGAAACCTGCGTATCACAGATAAGACGTCAAAAGACAAATTTAAAAAGCAGGCAACATATCCTAAGGGTGTTTCAACATTATTCAAGTAGGAATATTGGAACCACCCAACTAGAAAATGCCGAAAAGTTGAAACTAAAAACACCACAAGCACAACAATAATGTCGTGCTGAACGATCTTCAAGGATCGAAAATATAATATCATTTATTAAATGTACGGGGAGACTTTTTACAGCCGCCACACGGCACAAATAACACGGACGTGATCATGAAAAAGGTAAATACAGAATCCCCAAAGAAAGCCCAACAAGGCAAAATTGAAAATGTTGCAGGCTCGGTTTGATTGAGCCTGTTCATGGACGGTACTGGAAAGTGCAAGTTACCGCCCACGCCCCCTAGCACCGGCCTAATCAGAATTCAACATTTAAACATGAAATAGTAAACCTGTGTTCATCTTAAAAGTGTCAACAAATAAATGTATATAATGACCCCCTTTAAAAATATACTATAAGTTAAGAGAAGGCCGGAAACTCCAGATTCGAGCCTACGAGCAAGGGATTCATTTCCCGGGCCGTTGTGAAAACAATTGGCCAGACAATTAAAAAAAACTTTTATCACTATTTCACGTTTATATAAAGCTTCAAAATGAGACCAACCCCAAGTCTCTAGCCCTTCCCGTTCATGAAATATCTATCAGGAAACGAGCTACTTCGTGCTAAAAATCCTTGGTAGACATGATTGCCGCACAACAATTCGGTACGTAAATATAGACTATTACATGTATGTCAGCTGACTACGGGTCAAAATTACTTGAATTTACTAAATAATATTACTAAATACATTAAGTCGGACCACTCACAACCGTCAGTAGCATCTGATACACGCAAAATTCGAATTTCAAACCTTTCCACGGTCTTTAGATTACTTTCTACGCCATTGTCAATCAGCTGTTCGATATTTTGTAACGAGTCTTCTGATTGGCCAATAGCAACGAAAACCGCAACGTTTCACACAAGATGCCTAATGGCGTAGAAAGCGATTGAAAGACCGTGTAAATTCACTAAATTACTTAACAAATGTTGGATACTAGATCGTTTCATTTTTTTTGTAATTTATAAATCAAAGTCCACGCCGAATCGATCATATTTGTTTTCTGAATTATCCCTTTTCACTATGCCCCTTTATCATCTAATTGTACGTACAGTGTAAAGTAAAATATGAAAGGTCTATTTATCTTAATCATTAGAAAATACAGATCAGTGTTTGCAAAAATAAAATTGAGTTCCAATAAATTTTGAATCTGGAAGAGACAGGGGTATTGTAAGAAGTTAGAAACATGCGCATTATGTACGTCAGGAGATATAGAGGATGAATTTCATTAAACATTAATATGTCTAATTTATAGCGATTTTAGAATCATGTTCATTTCAAGATACTTTGCTGTAAATCCTAGTGTTTACAATTGCAATTACACTTGTTAACTGGTTATAGAAAATTAGCAATATTTTGTACTGAAGCGTTTGAAAGATAACTGAGTCGCGCCATGACAAAAACATGTTACTGCGTTTGCGACCAGCATGGATACAGACCAGCCTGCGCAGTCTGATCAAGATTCATACTCACGGGGGAGGAAGTGTTACACGAAGGATGGAGTTCTTATGATAACTTGTTTGGAGTTCTTATGATAACTGTCACGGAGTTCCTGGAAAACGTTACGGATTTCTGTGGAAAACTTTTCTATATACTTGGAGAACTCGCGTAAATAATGGTTATTTTTAACTTTAAATGGGGAGATTGAGGTGCTAAATTAAACTTTGATAATTAAGCTTGCCCTACATATTGAATTATGTTTCAGAAAAAATCTTTTAGTCCATATTTCGTCGCCGTTTAAAAAAAATCCGGTAGTTTTGAGAAAAATTTCCAAATTATTTGCTAATTCGTACATATTGACCTTTTCATTTGTGATCTTCTTCGTTGCTATACATAATCACCTAATTATAGTGGAGAGTTGCAAACATAAAGCCCGGGCTAATAAATGTATACCCAATTTTTCTAATGTTACGGAGTTCTTGTGATAACTCAAAATATGTCCTGGAGTTCTTATGATAACTTTTGTTACTGCCAGTGTGTTTCTTGTGCTTAATTACGGCACATTTAAGCGTATTTTTTTAGTCAATAAGTGTATAAATCATTATGAAGCATAGTACGCTTATCATTTGCACAAAAATTTGGTTATATAACGTTGGTTTTGATCGTGTTTTAGTTCCTAATTAAATTTGTGCGAAATCATATTGACATTATAAAACCCAACGAATGCACTAAATGTTTCTGTGTATACTGTTCGTCAACAAAAGTTTTATGTCATAAGTTTCCGCAAATGCAACATTGAGGCCATGTGGCAAAATTAAAACACGATCATTCAATATATCTGGAGAAGACATGAAACTGCTTTGGTGTACAGTCTATATAGGATAAACAGGTGCTAAGCTATCTTCAGGAACGACCGCCTCCGTGGTCGAGGGGTTTGAATCGATGACTTCTAATCCAGTTACCTCTCTGACGTGGGTTCGATCCCCGGGAGATGCTTTGGTAGTTTAGCACGGAGGAAGGTAGTCTAGTACTGGTGTAACTCTCCAGGAACGATGGTTAGGTAACTACCCGCCCATATGACTGAAATACTGTTGGGAAAAGGCGTAAAATGAAACAAACAAACAAAAATCTTCAGGAAAACCTGCATCAGCGGTCACCTGTATTCAGCAGTAACATGGCTTAAACCGCCAAGGAAAAATTGTTTAAAACTTATCATTTTTCTCAGTTACATGTTTTAAGCAACCGCCTTTCTAAAGCAGACAATAAGTAGTTGGGCTCAAAAGCGGCTAAGTAAATTGTATCATAATATACCATGTATCGTATGTAACCGGGATACCCTTCACACCCATGCACCCGAAATGTATGATCTTTTTATGCATAAAAAATCAACCGATTACTTCCG